TACATAGGGCTGGAGAAAAGAAATGGGGAATACAGGATGGCTTCTTAGACTAACCTGGTAGGGTCTCAGAAACTGGTGGTTATGTTTTTTTTGTGAGGGGAGTTCAGAGCAAAGCCACAGAGTAGGCAGACCCCCACTGGAAAAATTGGTCAGCCTGTTTCTTGTAGTCTTCTTTGATCTTTTTGAGGTGAGTATTTCTTCCTGAGACTAATGGATTTGCTGTACCCACTCCAGAGTTGCTGGTTTGACAGAATCTGTAGATAAGGATGTATGAAACTGGGGGTAGAAATGGTAGTTAATGCAGAAGTGACTTTGGCCTGTATAGGTGTGCTCAGTATTGTGTTGTAAGCAGACTCTGTGCAAGTTAGCAAGGAGGACTAGTTGCCTTATTGGAAGTAAAGGTAGCAGCAAAGGTACTTTTCTGGGTTTTGGTTTGTATGTTGTTTGTAAAGACTCTCCTTGATTGTCCAACTTTCGTTCACCTTGGATATATGATTTGCAATTTGCAGGGCACCTACAACTTGCAAATAAAGTCTTCCATTAAATATTTTGTAAAGAGCACAATTCATAACAATAACAACTGTTTTAACTCTTTTTCAAAGTATAGCATTCATGAATGCCACATGCCTCCCAAGGCTGGGGGGTGCACAGTGACCGCCTGCAGGCCATGGCGGTGGGGGTGTGTGTGGTGGCAGTGAGTGGAGAGCTCCCACAGGTGGCTGCAGTGGTGTTGGTAGTGCTGGGGGGTGACGAGCACCAACCGGAGATTGGCGACCACCCACAGATGCCGCTGGTAGCCTTGGCAGTGGTCAGCGGTGATTGCCCACAGATGTCGCCAATGAAATCAGTGGTGGGTGGGAGTGCATGATGAGCAATGACCATCCACAGGTGCTGCCGGCAGCGTTGGTGGTGGCCAATTTCAGGAGGTGCACCACCAACCTCAGGGGGTGCACGTGCACCTGCAATCTCAGGGGGTACACCCCTATGCATGGCCAATGATAGCATTAAAAATAATATAGAAAGTAAAAATTAGATAGCGGTAACACAGCAGAATTGTTAGAGTCTATATAAACACACTTGGGTGTACTATATGTTGTTTTACAGCCAATGAGGTATTATCTTCCTTGAAACTTGGCTTTCCTTGGGTGACAGAAAACAGACACGGCCTGGAATTTTTTAATTAGGCTGAACAAGTCATTTAAAAATTAAGCCATGAAGAACATAAATACTTGGGTTATGTTCTCCAAGCCTCATCACTGTACTGTATATTGAGGTAGTTGCATAATAACATAGAAATAAATTCGTAGTCTTTTATATTGTGTGCGGGGGGGGGATTGTGTGTGTTTATGGTGGGGTGTATGGTGGGGGGGTGTATGGTGGGGTGTTGGGGTGTTTGGGGGTGTGGGTGTATGTGTTGGGGTGTGGAGGTGTTTGTGATGGGATGTGGCTGTGTGTGTGGGGGCATAGGGTATGTTGAGGGGTTGTGTGGCATTTGTGGGGTCTGGGTGTGTGGCTCTGAAACACACTGTCCTCTCCTGCAGTCAACTCAGACAACACTGGGATGTGTGTGTATGTATCTGTGTGTCTCTCTGTGTGTATGTGTGTGTGGTCTGTGGGGTGTGAGGGAGGGTGGGAAGGGTGTGGGGACCCCCCACACTCTCCCCATGGTGTAGCAGCAGGTGGGGGTGCTGGTGCCTGGCTCTGGCCAGTGCTGCATGTCACAGCAAAGAGCACAGCCCCCACCAGGCTGTTGGTTTTCCTAGTGCTTCCCGCACTTGTAGGGCACAGGAGGGTAGTCCCAGGTGCTGGAGCCAAATGCCTTTCCCTCCCCAGTCCACTCCAGTACTTGGGGCTTCCCTCCTGTGCCCTGCAAGTGCAGGGAGCACTGGGGAACAAATGGCCCAGTGGGGGCTAAACTCCTTGCAGTGCAGCACAGAGCAGAGCCCACCCCTCTCCCCCTCTCACTTCCTGCGGCTGCCACCACTGCCTTCCAAGGCTGCATGCCACAGGGGGATGAGGGTGGGAAGCATGGGAGGGGTCCCTATACCCCATACCCCTCTCCCCTCACACCCACACCCTGCCCACCGAAGCTCTGCACTACTGCGGCCCAGGGATGTGGGGTCTGTGCTGCAGCCAGCCCCAGCTGCACACTCCTGCCCAGCTGCAGCCCCATGCACACCCCAGCTTCCCTACCTGCTGGTCAGAGAGAGCTGGACACCAGGGAATCCTGCAGCAGCAGCCCCGCCCCATGCTAGTGGGACTGGCCTCTAGCCCATGAGGGTGGGAGCAAGGTATAATAGGATATGTTGGGGGCAGGTGTGGGCGCCTCACTCCCACTCTCAGGGGAAAGGCTGTGTGGGGCACAATTCGTTGGGGGGCACTGTGGGCTGGATGAAAGTGCCTGGCAGCCTAAGGGCTGTATTTAGTCCACCTCTGAGCTATACAGTCCTATTATCCCCTTTCATTATTTGTTCCCCAGGACTGTAGGTCCATTTTTACCTCTCATGAATGTTGGATCTGGCTGTCATACACCCATTATATTTTAACAACTGTCCCTAGAAAAATCACTTCATGAAAGTTGGTAGTCATGTAAACATTCCAGTGCAGACTAGTAGGCATCACCTTTCCTACAGTGGGAA